GGTTTAACTTTAAAAAAAATAAGTAACCTGGTTGCCTTAATTTTAAGTTCATTGAAATGGAAAAATTGAGTTAATACAATGAAGGAGATTAATTTAATCACCAGAAACTCAAAATATTATGTTATCTGAACTACATAAATTATCTAAGTTAAAAAAATGTTGTGATAAAAAATCATGAAAATATTTTTTACAGTGTATTGATAAAATGCTGAAAACTGTGGGTTTAACTTTTCATTTTATGATTTAATCAATGAATAGCTTTTCATCAACTCACGAACCCACGTTTGGAAATCACTTATGCAACGTATATAAATATTACATTTCTTGTGTCAGACAATTATTTAAGTGGTTCGGTGTGTTGTGTTCAGATTGCAACAATGGCATCAGCAACCAGATTACCACTGTAAACAAAAAAATGACAACTCATTATGAAATATTAGTCAAATGTTAAATCTAAACAACAATACCCATACCCAGAAAAATATTTTGAAATCTGTGTAAGGTCAACAAATGCTTTCATCTGTTAGTTTCACTTTGGTATTTGTGAACATTATCGTATGCCAATGTTCCTATAAAATGTTACCTTCAATGTTAAACAGCTGCTGCCAGACACCATGAGTGAATAGCGACGTCTTGCCAAGATCTATACATTCTGTTGTTCGGCTGCCAACGGTTGGACACAATGTTTTCATTGTGGTAACGTGATTAGTTATCAGTGTGTCTTCGGGTTCCCATGTAATGAGTGGAGCTTCTACAATAGTTACGAAAGCATGCAGGAATGTCTGGATGTAATTTGAGTGTTTGAGAAGTCAAAGAGTCTCCGCACGGTTACAGTTTTTGAGGTCATAAATGATTGTATGAATAAAGTATCATTTGTGATTATCGTGTTTCTCTTTTGCCTCCCAGCTGATCTTAAACTTTCTGTCAAAGTCTTCAAGGTTCTGAACTCTTTCCTTGCGGCCGCCTTGTCTGACCCTGGCGCTTCTAGTATGGATACACAAAGGATGGAGTTTTAAAGTTGGCTTGTTTGATATAAAAACAGGAAATGTTTCTATATTTTGGTCTTACGGAACCATGGAAACATGCACTTTAATGACCATCAGTCATGTGTAAAACAATGGTGAAGATTAATAGGGCCTGTTTATATCCCATCAATCATATCACATTAGTGTTCAAATGGTTCTGTGTTGTTCTGGCAGTGTGTGAGAAATTAAAAGTTACTCACATTTAACACAAATGAAGCATTAGTTGACTAATCGAATGAACTGAAAAGTACTTTACTTGAAGGGGTGTGCTTAAGACTGAAATGATATGTCTTAAATATAATGTAAGTAAGGTTAATGCATGTTTATGACAACTGTCATTAAGTGTCTTTCGCTCAATAATGGCATTTTGAATGCAATTATGACATTGTTTAAGATGTCTTTGTTATGACATCTTGACATAAACCAATACATCATAACCTGTCAGTGTCGTTGTCATGACGACTTGACATAAAATTAAATTAAACTGTCATGTGGTTGGCCATGGGGCCATTATAACTGAATATTTTTCATGACCTCAACTACAGTGGTACTAATTAAATTTGTCATTAAAAAGTTATAATGGCTTCATGACAGCCAATGTCAAAACCAACCTGACAGTTTAATGTTATGTCCAATAAAGCTAAGTGGTTTCTTAAGTTTGATAATTAATCTGCTATGTCATGTTTATGACAGGTTGTGTTGTCTAGTAATGTCAAGTTGTCATGACCAAGACACTGACAGGTTATGATGTATTGGTTTATGTCAAGGTGTCATAACAAAGACATATCAAACAATGTCATATTTGCATTAAAAAATGTCATAACTTAGCGAATGACACTTAATGACAGTTGTCCTAAACATGAATAAACCTTCCTTTATATTCATAACATGTCATGTCATGATTATGAAGGTGTCATGTCAGTCTTATGCACACCCCTTAGTTTGTTTGTGAATTCATATAGAATTTATAGAGAATGAGAAATACTGACAACATGTATTTAATCCAAATATGTACACCTCTACTCAAAAGCTTGGGTCAGTGTTTTTTTTACTTTTATTCAGCAAGGACCCATTAAATTGATCATTGAACATATTTATAATGTTACAAAAGATTTCTCATTAAAATTCTTTCTTTTCATCAAAGAATCCAGAAAATTTAATAGTCAACACAAAGTACAGTTGCACTTGTTCCTTTGTATGACAAAAAAGATGTAAATGAGAACGGCTTTATGGGACATTCGACTATGTGTTATTAAATACAGTATGTAAGCAGCACTGATTAGGAGAGAAAACAGTTGCAAAGTACCGACAGTTGCTGAATGACATAATCTAGTGACAGCTTTTGCAGTCATTAACTACTTTCCATTGAAAATAGTTGGCAGCATGGGTACAGAAGCACTTGAGCTGAGGTCAGATGAGATCTCAGCTCCATTATTTTTCTTTTGTAAAAGCTCTCTGCTTTTCTTTGGCAGTCTCAAGAGGAAAGTCCACATGGAGCCAATTCTTGGAAACCCCATCATTTCTTTTTTTGTCCTCCATTTGTTGCCCTCAATAGCATATTCCACGGTCGCTCTGCGGTTCACCGTGAACACAGAGTCCCCTCGCACTACCGCTGTAAACAAAGCCCCCTTACTGTTCTCGTACTGCCCGGGCATGGCCGTCCACTGACCTGAGGTCAGATTGTAACAGTCCATCATGCATTTCAAAAAATCATCAGATGGCCCGTTCCTCATGACGTACAAATTGTCCCTGTGGCCCACCATGCAATGACCGTAACTTTGATGCCGAACGAGTGTTGTGATTAACGTCCATTCATCCTTGTTGGCTACGTACTCATAAATCTCAGTGGCGTCTTTAGGTCTCCAGAGGCATATGAAAAGTCTTCTCATGGCTTTGGTGCAAACGACGTTGGATGCAGGTCTTGGCAAATTGGCAGCAAAGCTCCAGGTGCCCGAAGACACTTTGTACCTCTCCACAGAGGACATTATCTTCTTTTCATACTCTCCACCGATGACAAAAAGGTCGCCCACATGGCTAACAAGGGTGCAGTTGTAGCGAATTTGCCGAGGGCTGGAAAATGTGCTCCAAGTGTCAGTAGATACATCATAGCAGAAACCAGACTCCACAACTTTATTGGTAATATCATAGACTCCTCCAACAATGTAGATCTTGTTGTCTAAAACTGTAACTCCTGCCATGGTGGTGCTGGCGTTGAGAGGCAAATGGGTGAGAACCTTCCAGTCTTTCTCATCCTCATCAAGATAACAAACGGTCCTCATGAAGTCCTGCAACAGCTCGATGGTTGGCGAATGACTACCAACCATGATGTACGTACTAGGAACCAAAGACTCTATATGTTCAATCAAATCTTCTGGCAAGCCCTTCACATCTTCTTTGAGGTCTTCGTAAATGTCTCGAATGAACAAAGCTGCACTCCGGAAGAGCTTCAATAACCCAAAGGTCGCCGATGTGTGATACATAAGAAGGCAGTTGTCTGAAGTGATAATGTTTATGAGGTGCTCGGTTAGAATCTCTATGTGGAGAAACGCAGTACACTCGATGGCGTCAACAATTTCATCACCGCTCAGCATGGGTCTTTCACTATGCATCACACGGAGGGCGATCAGGAATCCACGAGCACTCGGCACCTGAAGACAAACCTCATCCTCCTGGCATTCCTTCATGCCAGACTGGAAAAGCGCTCGAAAGTATTCACAATGTTCCTCCAGGAGGCTTCTCTCCACCGTAAAAACACTTTCGGCCAATTTCACTTTCACTGTTTTTTCCATGAAACCCATTGGGTGGTACACCGCCTTCCTTACGTCGATCTCTGAGCCAGCACAGCTGCCTGTCTCCGTCAGGTTACCTCCTCTCATTTTCATCTGAACTCCAGAGAAATGTCCACACAGTCAAACCTCTCTGTGAAGATATTCACAGCACCATTGACTGTCCATGATGTGTTCTACAGTGACAGTGTTGAAGCAGATGCACTTGACTCGAGTGTGCAGTGTTTGTATTACTAACTACAAGAATAGAATCAGCTATACATAGAGGTGAAAAGTATGGTAGCATTATACTGCTTAAAAGCAATGGCAGATAGCCACCGCCGTAGAGGGCAGCCGTCATCGTGGTTATTTATTACCTTTTGTTCTTGGCAGGCATGAAAAGCAGGCTAAAAATGTCATCTTCTCCTTTAATGAACAGGTGAACTGCCTAAAGCTGTAACAATGGTATGCTTGTAAGGGTCACTCTTTGTTGTGGGTTAGCATTCCAGGTGAACATGTGCTACTTAAAATAAAATAAAACCAAGCAGACTTATTGGTTGGGGGATGCTAGTTTCAAAACATTGCAGATGTAGTAGACCAGTTTAATTCGCTATCCTGTGACTCCAAATTATACATCTTTGAGTAGGATCGATAGCCCCAAATAGCATAGCAGCAGCCTACAAATTCATTGAAAGATATTTAAATCCTTAAAGCAGTTTAAATACCATAAAACTCTAAATTGCCATACATTGTGTGTTTGTGTAACAATGACAATTCCTATTTATAATAAGAATATAAATAAATATAAATCCTAGAATTTTGTGAACCGTAACAGTGACGTCGAACATCGTGTCTCGTGACCGATTGAAGCAAATTGACAAACGTCGTCAGCAAACAATTAATCATAATTTTCATTAATTATTTTCTTACATTTGGGTCTTTTTAGTACTTTTTAAAATATAAAACATAACAGTTTATTTGAGGAACGAAAAAAAATGCTGATTAATTTTCCTGGTGAAATCGTCGGGCCATATTTTTTTAAATAACGTTTGACATAACAAATTATTATATAATTATTTAAACATTACAAATAAGCGTGTTTTGTTTTATAAGTCTAAAAGTCGTTGCTACAGGTAGTCAACCTCGACGTCAAAAAAGTTTTCCCCGTAAAAGTAATTAGCATAGCTGTTAGCCTACAGGGAGGGGAACTGATTTATCAAACGCGAATTTTACAATTGCTAGCCTACAGTGTGAGCTTTGAAGATTATTTTTATGTTCATAGGAGGCGGATTCACTTCATTCCGTCATGTGCTCCAGCCCACCGAACCAAAATATTCCAGCATTATTTATTTCACCGTTCCCCTCTCGCAACATCCTCTTCGACTGCAAGAGACGTCCAAAGCACAGAGAAAATAAGAAAATACACCACCAATCTCGGACAAATGTTTTGTTGCGTGTTTGTAGACATGTCGTTTATACTGAAGGCGAGCCAGCTGTTTTGCAGAGAGCGCTGGTGAGAAATCAGAAGTCAGCATCATCCAGGTATGAACTCAGAAGATCAAAGCACATGTAACGTTAGGCTAATGTGTGTCTAATATGGATTCGTATCTTCTATGTGTTCATTCTTCTATCTTATCACTTCGTCTCGTCAGGATGTCTCTGATGTTTGGGAAAGCAAGAACGTGCAACATAGTCACAGTTCCTGAGCATGAGCCCTCGGAGTGTAACATAGTGATTTTGGGAGCTATGGGATCTGGAAAGTCAGGTATGATTAACATACATTGCAGGGGAATGTTTTCGTAATGTTCATAATCACAAACACTAGTTAATGCCAAATCAAGGTTTCTTCAATTTTTAGGGAAGACTTAGGCTATACTGATATAATGTGCCTTGATTGCACTGTAAAATCGTTTTGAATTTGTATTTCCCCAGATATATTTTCATATCTGAGAGTAATTGAAATGACTGATCTGTTTTGTATATTGTACATGTTTACCTGTGTAACATTTAGAGATTTAGTTTTAAGATGTTAACTTAAACAGCAGAACTTTTCCATTGTCATGTTGTGATGCTCTCTGTTATGTAATTGAAAATATTTCAAACTTAGACTTACAGGAAGTTTGTCTGTCCCCCCGCAGCACTTACTGTGAAATTCCTCACAAAGCGCTTCATCAGTGAATATGACCCAAACCTTGGTGAGTTTCCCAGCTTTTACTGTTGTCACCAAGGATGTAACCAAATATTGAGGGGATCAAAGGTAAAAGTTTAGGAATTGGTCAAATTAGAAAATACTGAGTACAATAATGAGTGATTGAACATCTGGAGGGGACGTGTACCTCTACGTCTATAGTGGTTATGGTCCTGGTCTTAACACAACACATATTTGAAAGTGATTTATCAATCAAACAGACCATTTATCATCTTACTGAAGCATTATTGCTAACTTAAGTTTCATATATAACCAATAGGAAACCAGATGGGTGACTTTAAAACTTAAAAGGGTTTTACTTAGAGACATGAAAGTCATTGTAAAGCTTCATTCTCTTTTTCATTTTTTTTTTCTTGGAAGAAGATGAAAAGTTAAGGCTGACAGCTTTAACGTTAATAAACTGACAGCTTTAACGTTAATAAAAAACATTCAACATTTTAAGACTCGCAGGCTTTTCCAAACCATTTAAAGTCCTTTTCCAACACCATATAGTTTTTTTTTTTTAAATTTGTCATTTGTTTTATCACATTTACATCTTGTTCAAATTTAATTCTTTCATGAAATCATTATATAAAATAATACAATTTATGATGCACGTGGATGGCAGGAACAGAAATGTTGTGTTTTATAAGAAAGAACTGGATGAAAAGACCTCATCTGGAAAAACTTTAAGACAAAACACATTATGTAACTTGAGCTGGTGTGAAATGCTTAATGTTTTAGTGAATACCAGTTCTTTTGGTTAGTTTCTTTAAAAAAAAAAAAAAACCAAACATTAGCTTCTTTTACACATTGCATTTTCAGAAGATACTTACTCTTCAGAAGAAGTTGTGGACCAGCAGCCGGTTATAGTCAAAGTGATGGACACGGCTGATCAGGTAATGATGTCCATTTGTCTCTTTTGAGAATATTCTGCTTTATATAGATCAGATTGATCTCCCCATAATGCTTGGTGTTTTACTTTCATGTAATGGAAGTTTGTTGCATAACCTAGGCAACTTTACAGTATATGCGAACAAATCTGTCTTTATTTAAATCAGGATGGACCAGTCAACTGTGAGCGCTATCTAAGCTGGGCCAATGCTTTCATCATTGTCTACAGCATTGACAACCAGAATAGCTTTCAGGCCTGCCAACAGTACATAGAGACTGTGACCCTTTACTCAAAAGGCCTGCAGCCAGACGCTCCTGTCATTCTTCTAGGCAACAAAGTGGACATGGAGAGATACAGGTGAATCAAACATCCTTCCTGTTAGACTCATACCCTCATTAACCCTCATTCACTATTCCCTACATTATTCCACTAATATAGTCGAAGAATATGAAGCGCTGCCGCTTTTGCATAGTTTGTGCTTGCTGTTTAATAATCATTTAAAACGTAGCAAAGTTGCATAATGTGTTTTGTAGCATTAAGCGGAATTATGGATCTTGTCGTCAAGTTGATGGACCTTTTATGGATGAGTGAAAACATTGATGTTTGTAACATGACTGTAGTATGAAGCAGGGCGCGATTGCTAGACGCATACCAGCTCCACACGCAACGTGAGTCCCGCGGATATAAAGGAATAAGGACATTTCATTCTACCGAATTACACGCTGAATTACTCGCACAGGTCAGTTTATTAGATGAATTAAATTTGAGGTAACGCAGCGCTGCTTCACTTGTTCTAACAGTTACACTATCACACTAAAAGGCATCTGTGTGTTGAATGTTAGTTACAGTGGTGTGAATAAGTGTTTGCCCCCATGCTAAAGTTGCCTAAAAAGAGGAATAAAAAAAATCATCTTTTGGATATTGATCTTAATGCCTTAATTAGAAAAATGAGGAAAACTCCAACCTTTAAGGACACAAATTTTCGTTGTGAATGAATAATGTATCATAAATAAATAAAAGTCATTGCCCCCCTATGTTAAATTCCCATAGAGTCAGGCAGATTTTTATTTTTAAAAGCCAGTTATTTCATGGATCCAGGATAATATGCATCCTGATAAAGTTCCCTTGACCTTTGGAATTAAAATATCCCCACATCATCACACACCTTCCACCACACCTAGAGATTGGCATGGGATACTTTCCATAAGATCATCTTTCAATGCAAATCAAACTAATGCAAATCAGCTATTAGGCTAACTGAAGTAAAACCATGCCAATCTCTAGGTGTGGTGGAAGGTGTGTGATGATGTGGGGATATTTTAATTCCAAAGGTCAAGGGAACTTTATCAGGATGCATATTATCCTGGATCCATGAAATAACTGGCTTTTAAAAATAAAAATCTGCCTGACTCTATGGGAATTTAACATAGGGGGGCAATGACTTATGCACCCTGTATTTTAAGGAAAAACATTTATTTATTTATTTATGATACATTATTCATTCACAAAGAAAATTTGTGTCCTTAAAGGTTGGAGTTTTCCTCATTTTTTTAATTAAGGCATTAAGATCAATATCCAAAAGATGATTTTTTTATTCCTATTTTTAGGCAACTTTAGCATGGGGGCAAAAACTTATTCACACCACTGTAGGTTGTTTGTTGGCTGTATGAGACTATAAGCTAGATTAACATTAGAGAATAACATAGAGATCATTTTCTAACTTTTTTATCATGTTCAACTACATAACATTGATTAGTTTTATATACATTGGTTTGCTCAACTGTTTGCTCACCTCTCGGCATCTCGAAAGATGTTGATCTTCGTTTTAGTCCTCTTTTTGTCTCAAAATCTGCTTGCTATGGTCCATAATGTTTGAACAAAACCCTGCTAGGGACGCTCACGCAGTTGAGCACGCATAACGGGCATAACCCAGTGGTCCACGTCTGTCACCGTGGTTACTATTGCAGTACGAGGTCAAACCTAGCGGAAACCGGGGGTAACGCGGATATGACGTCATTGACTGGCGACTCCTCAGCCTTGCTCACACACTCCCCGTTTCCTTGGTTAAAAATTGCCATTTTCTCACGATTTACAAATAAATGAAAATATTTGAGATATTGTAAGTGATCAACTAAACAAAATATATAACATTGGCCTAGTGGTTTTTGGATATTTTATTGCAAAATTCCTGCATATTGTACCTTTAATTAAACAATTCAATAATCCATTAAAAAGGAATTTATACCTGTATGATATTACGTTGTACCCACATTGGACCAGCTGTTTGGAAAATGGATGGATGTGCACGACCCTCACAGTGCATTATGGGTATTCTCTAGCCGTTGTTTGTAAATCAGGTGTACACTCGACTCGTTATTGCGGTGCATTATGGAATTGAATGAATGCCAGTGGTTTCGGACACCACTACAAATGGCTGTCCCCTCAAATAGTGCCCTATTTAAGGGTATAGGAGGCGATTTCAGACACAGCCAAAATGATTTGTCTTATACGAAAGCTATTGTGCACTTTTTCTTTATTTTATTTTGGGGTCTATTTTTTTTAAAAACACATTTTTTTCACATATTTTACATTGTTTCAGCACCTCTCTTCCCAGTCTTTTAAGTTCCTCTCCATGGCTGTCCGAAATCTCCACTCAAACCACTACTTCCTACCCCCTATGTATAGAGCACTATATAGTGAGCTCACCAGCATAATAGAAACACCACTTTCGGACACTAGTTGATTACGTCTTTGCTGTCGCACTATTTGTGCCGTAATGGGGCAATGCGTGCTTACAAACAATTTATATATGTCTGACAAAATTGTAAAACTACTACATGTCATAACGAGACAGAACATAACTTACATTTGTATGACAAATTTGCATTGCCGCGGTGCTCCCCTTGTTGTCCGCCCGCCATTTTTACCATCAGCGCAATGCATGATGGTATGTAGGGCTTGGGTTAGTGACAATCGGTTATACACTACTGTTCAATATGCATTCTAAGATACATTGAGTGGACTATATAGGGTATAATAATCATCAATATACATTCGGACAGCGCTAAAAATGGTGAGCTCACTATATATTCCACTATATAGTGAATAGTGGGAGATTTCGGACACAGCCTAAATGAAGTCCCTCTGATTGGTCGGCCGGAGCGGTATGTTGTGAGTGATTGGTCAATCGCTTTGAACATGGAGTTCAGAGTGTTTACTGATAGAATAACTCAATTTTGTGTAAAGTTGTAGACCTTTTTAATGCTCAAACAGCAACATTATACACTATTAAAAGTTGAAAATGTAAATTGACCTCTTTAAGCACAAATCTTAAACAGCCAAATTTCCTGTGTCAGAGTGGGTGTGTTAGTCAAAACAGTAACCAAACATAGTGAAATAGTGCGTTTACATATTTGTATGAATGTCCCTTTGTTAGTTTAACTGGAAGAACATATGACCTGTGACTAGCTAAATTACAGCAATTTTGCCCTGTACTACTGCATGTTATTTAGATTTCAATCTTTCATGATCTTAAAATGTTTAAGTAAGGATTTGATTGGTCCAGGAAACGGCCATTTATTACCTCTTTATTTTCCTTTCATTATGCAAACACAGTGCATAAAATGACCATAAAACAGCTGGATTCAATCGAATCTATCTATTTATGTAATGACAGTTTTAATGTGTGCTTCTTTGGCAGCCATGCTTTAAATAAATGTTTTAACTGCTCATCCCCAGTTTGTTTTCTGCTGTGCCATTCCTGTTACCATAGAGACTTTCCTTAACCATTTATTGCACAATTTTACTATAGGCTGCAGTTATCATATCAGTTTCTATTTAGATTTTAGATCTTTATTCCTGTGACGCAAAGCAAATTTTTCAGCATCATTACTCATCTCATCACATGATCCTTCAGAAATCATTCTAATATGATGATTTGCTGCTCAAGAAACATTTCTTAGTTTTATTATCAATGTTGGAAACTGAGATTTTTTTTTTGCGTCGTTGCTAAATATACTGTATCTATTTCTATAAAAAAAAATCACTTTGACTCCAAACTTTTGAACAGTAGTTGTGTAAAAAAAATATATATATATATATATATATATATATATAAAATATATATATATATATATATATATATATATATTTAATTCATATGTTATTTTTTCATGTTATTATTGTTAAATTTAATTGCATTGTTCTTTTACAATTCTTTTTTTCAATTATTAGCCGATTTTATTGACTCATTTAACTACACTAATTATTATTTACAATAACAGTACATTTTTAAGACATTTTATATTCATTGTTACACATTCGGATTCATGAAAAGGATCCTATATATTATAATTCAGAATTGATTTTTGATTTTAGTAAGAGGTCCATTTATGTAAGAAAAATTGTTAGGCCTACTTTATTTTACAGTGTCCTTACATATGTTACATGTACACTTACCATAGTAATAACTGTAAATGATGCATAATTTCATGCCCAACTAACCCTCAACCAAATCCTAATCACCCTAAAATAAAGTGTAACCCAAAAGTCATTCAAATGATTTCATAATGCAGACATTTGTGCAATAATAATCTGTCTCTCTCTCAGACAGGTGAGCAAGGAAGACGGTGCAGCACTGGCCTCGCGGTTCGGCTGCCGGTTCTTCGAAGTTTCCGCCTGCTTGGACTTCCTTTCCGTTCAGCACATCTTTCATGAAGTCGTTCGGGAAGTGAGGCGAGAGACCGATAGGAGTATCCGTCCGCTCTTCATCAGCGAAGACAAGTCCGCGATCAGCCTGTCCTCAGCTCCTCCACTCACCGCCTGCTATAAAGAGCTGCCCACTCCAGCCACCGCAAAGCTGGTTACGGTGAAGTCCTCCAGAGCTCAAAGCAAACGCAGAGCCCCCACGCTTACACTGCTCAAGGGCTTTAAGATCTTCTGATGTGATGCTGCCCTCTTCTGATACTGGAGAGGATCTACCAGAGGGAACGCTTGTCTTGATGTTATTTAACAGGACCCTGAAGGAGAACAACGTCTCTCGCATACTTGAGAATGCAGTAACTGTATGAGAATGGACAATGTATTAAGTATAGCCTATCAGAGCTCAAATTAATGTCTTTGTTAGCACTTCTAATATAATTTAGTTGATTTTTTTGTTTTTTTTGCACCACTTCTTGCATTTTATTGTGATAAAAACAATTTCCATTTTAAATTACAAGGATTCATTGGGGACATTTTATTTTTTTACACAGCAGAATATAAAACCTAATTATGCACAGAATTCCAAAGAAAGTTTCAGGAAATAAACACATGTATCTGTGTTTGTTCTTGTTAAACTGTAAAAAAAAAAGTTTTTAATATTGATTAAACACATTATAATTACCAAGTTTATTAGGTTGCATCTCAACAAGTGAGATAGAAGAGAATAACTTACTATGCTTTGTATGGGCTGCAAAGAAAATATACAGATTAAATATTTTATTTAAATCATATTATAGAAGTTTGTATGGTACACTATTATGGTTTGGGGGAAAAATCGGTAATTTTCAAGTTTCAGCTCATGACCAATTCTGACGCATTCTCACACAAAAAGTTTTTAATTCATGTTGTTATTATAACAAATAGTACAACTTGCCTTTTGAAATATACACTATAAAACTGAATATATGTGAATATATTGACACTGATTGTTTGACCCAAGGCTATATATTTTGGACTAGGGAAACCATGAGTAATACGCAAACAACTGGACTATATTAAAACACAATAGCCTCAGATGAAGCTATCACTTGGGGGGAGTTTTGGGACAGAGACTCCTCATCTGTGTTGTGGACGTCCTGTTCAACATCCCCCTCCGATTCCGGTTCAGGATACAAAGTAGACACGTTCCCGTCCTTCCAGGTCACCACAATTTCTCCAGGCTTCATTTCCTCCGAGGCTTTGCTGTTGGTTGAGGGCTCTTCCCAATCTTTATGGCTGTTGTGTGTTGTGACGTGTTCGGATGAGATGGAAAGGCTTTTCTCCTCTTTGACCTGTGTAACCTGATCAGTGACGATGACCTGCAACCCCTCCATTTCAGGGTTCAATTCTGTCAATTTTGTGGCCGCTTTGAACTTGGCTATTTGCTTCCTGTTCCTGTAAGGAAGACATGGAAGTTATGGAAGATATATATATATATATATATATATATATATATATATATATATATATATTTGTGTGTGTGTGTGTGTGTGTTCGCTATATATATATATATATATATATATATATATATATATTATGGGGTGTAAACAGGAAATAATTGTATGTAAATTAAATATGTAAAGATGTAGATACAAATCTGAATATATAGTCACAAATCTGAATATATAAATGTAAAGCCTGAATATATACGGTAGGTATAATTGAATATATATTTTTAAATCCTGAATATATAGTTATAACTTAAATGTAAATCCTATTATATAGCTGATATATATAGTATAGCTGAATATACAGTATATAGCCTATATACTGTATGAATATAAACAAAGAAACATATATATATATATATAATTATTTATATATATAAACAAAACAATTTGGTTACTATAAAAGTGCTGTTTGTTACCTGTTGTTGCAATGCTAGTTTGTACTAACCTATTAGCCATCATACCCATGACCAACAGCATAGCACCAATCAGAAGACCCAGAAAAGCAAATCCCATCATGCCAAACTTCCATGATGTTGCTGTTAAACAAGAAAAGGGCATTGGACAGTATGTGAGTATTAATGTGATAGAGCCACATACAAATGTGCACTTAAGCCATTTCATGGATGGGGAAATTAAAGTCTGTAAACGTGAGAAAGAAAGACTTTAAGAGCAAGCTTGGCACACTCACGGTCCTCTGTGCGGTAATACCACTGTAAAAACTTCATCTGTGCCTCTGTCATTCCCTGTGCAGGCGGCCCTTCATCATAGTCAAACTTGTCGGCCTCTGAATCACTGTCTCTTCTGGATCCTGTAAGAATGAGTGAAGATGAGATGAGTCGGAGCGAGGAAGGTCAGTGGAGTTTCTTTTCATTTTCTAAAATGTGGCAGAAATCGCTTTACATTCTTGTGATTGTGAACACAGAAATTGTGACATTATTGTCAAGCACACTCCCTCTATAATTCACATTACTATAATACAATATATAAATACTGGTCAGAATTATTTGCCCCCTTGGTGAATATGATCAAAGACGGCAGTAAAAAATAAATCTGCATTGTTTATCCCTTTGATATTTTATTTTTAAAAAAGTAAAAGAATTGAAAGTGGTGTTGGTGGTTCAAATCAAACATGACTTTAAAATATTGTGCGGATCGGTTAGGGGGGGGGGTGATTTTCAGACTTTGTTTCAGAACTCGCGATTAATCGTTTGACAGCCCTAATATGTATTTCATATTAAATAAATGCAGATTTGAGAGTGTATGTCTGCCAACCAGATAGAATGAACGTGATTACAAAATTCAAACAAAGAATCAAATAATTCAGACATTTTTTAGCTTCTACTCACTCAGTTTGTTTTGGCAGATATCAGCCGCATCCAGAGACTTCCAGATGTTGTGTTCACCCCTGTTGAGTTTGAGATTTCCTCTCTCTGAGCTCAACGCCAGGGCATTTTTCAGGCTGATGAGCTGTTGAGCTTTGCACTGCCATTTGATGTGTTGACCAGAATCACAGCTTATAGTCTGGACTGGGTCGCTGTGGATGGAAGAGAGACACCTCAGGGTGCCTGTGTTCATTAGGAACCAGTGATCGGCCCACATCCACTGTTGCAGGACTGAGTCCACATTGCATCTCTTTAACTCCACTCCTTCAGCTGAGTCCTCTAGACACAGGTCTTCCTTAATGTTGTGGATCGTGAAGCTGAATGTGCCTTGAAGAGAGATTATATCTGTGAGACATTGTGATTAAATCATACAAATCATACTTTTATATCTGGAAAAAGAGAATGAATGAATGGCAATTTTGTCTCACAGACTATAATTCAACCAATAATATATTATTATTGTTAGATTAAGGCTGATTTATACTTCTGCGTCGAGGGTACGCCGTAGTGTACGGCGTTGGCTACGCACGTAGGCGACGCCGTTGTGAGCATTTATACTTCTGCGTTCAGGTATTGGTTGCTCTGCAGTACTGCTCCGAAACGCTAGGAGGCGGCGGAGGGTTTTAATGTTCCACTGTGTTTAGATTCCTCGCGGCTAGGTTACTACAAGCAATAGCGACTGAAAGAGAGTGGATCATGTTGGAGTTGGAGCTTATTGAGGTGGAAAAACAGTTCATTTTAGTGAAATTACTAAAACTGAAAGGCAGAAATGAGAGAAGACGTCGGAGGAGAAGGTACGTGCGGAAATGCGTATGAGGAAATACGATGCTACCAAGCCGACCAATCACCGATCTTGCGGTCCGCGTCGTCGCGACGTGTAGTTACATTTTTGAAGAGGTGCGCGTCAGGCAACGCGGAAGGGTACGCGGTATGGGACGCGTCTGTGCGTATGCTACGCCGTACCTACTGCGCGCACCCTACGCAGAAGTATAAATTGGCCTTTATATTGTCTGTAGTTCACCCTGAATCTCACAAAAATATGTCAAGGTCACATTTCACCCAAATATCAAAAGACTGAAATTTGAAAAAATATTTAGTTCACTTTTAAAACAACTTTTGCTGATAATTTACTCACCCCCATGTCATCCAAGATGTCCATGTCTTTCTTTCTTCAGTCGAAAAGAAATTAAGGCTTTTGATGAAAACATTCCAGCATTTTTCTCCATATAATGCACTTCAATGGGAACCAAACGGTTCAAGGTCCAAAAGACACTTTCAGTACAAACTGCAAACTGTTCAAAGGGCTTTAAACGATTCCAGATAATGAATAAGGGTCTTTTCAAGCTAAACGATCGCTCATTTAATAAATAAACAGCAGTTTAAGTTTTATAAGCTCAAATGCTCGCCTTGCCCTGTACTGTGATGCACGTTCCTGACTCTGCTGTTCGAACTCGTTCATCAAAATGAACAAATCTTTTTCGAGTCAATTCGTTCATTTCGTTCGTTGAATGAACCAAATAACTCGGAAAAAGATTAGTTCATTTTGATTTGAACGAGTTTGAACAGGAGAGTCACGAACGTGAATCACAGAACAGAACAAGGCGAGCATTTGAGCTAATAAAACTTAAACTGTTGTTTATTTTTTAAAAGACCCTTATTCATCGTCTGGAATCGTTTAAAGCCCTTTGAACAGTTTGCAGTTTGCACTGAAACTGTCTTTTGGACCTTGAACCGTTTGGTTCCCATTGAAGTTCGTTATAAGGAGAAAAATGCTGGAATGTTTTCATCAAAAACCTTAATTTCTTTTCGACTGAAGAAAGAAAGACATGGATATCTTGGATGACATGGGGGTGAGTAAATTATCAGCAAAAGTTTTATGTTTATCAATGTAGTTACCTAAAAATGAAACCTTATTGTAAAGTGTTACAATATATTTTCTTTTTTTGTTGTTATTTTAGAGTGACTGTGTTTCTCAAAAGTGTTGTAAGCTCTTTGGAAAATTGTCACCATAGCGGTTAGTTTTATAATGCTTTTAGGAGATGCAGCCCTGGACATATTTGTGACAGGATTTGTAAGATTCCGGATATTTTCTGAGGTTAAGAGTGTGCTATACCAGGCCATGTGAGTAATAACGCTATCCACAGCAACGGCAGCATCGCTCCTGTAATACCAAACACAAAACACAATGGAGAGGTCCAAGACATGTGTTAATACTTCCAAACATGTTCAAAAACAACATATCAAGTCCGGTGAGAATTCCTCCCCCCACATAAACACACAATATCTGAAAGCTGACGTTGTGCAATGTTTAAAACTTTCCTAATGATATCATGCCTTGACAAAAAACAGATGTCGAACCACACCTCAATGTTGAAATATTTCCATCACATTTTCTTAATTCCACCTTAATCAAGATAGATAGGCTATGGTTGCAATTATAAAAAAAAATAAATTAAAAAAGTACATTTTTTGTGTCCTTATACTTTGTAGTTTTATGCATTGTTTACAGAAAATCCCTTAAAAGTCATAATGTTATATATGTACAGAAAAAAAGGTACAAAAGCTGTCACTGGGGCGGTACCTTTTCAAAAAGGTACACTTTTGTACCTAAAGGGTGCATATTGGTACCATAATTGTACAAATATGTACCATGAGGTACCAATAAAAGTGTATCTTTTTGAAAAGGTACCACCCCAGTGACAGCGTTCGTACCTTTTTTTCTGAGATATTATATTACCTATTAACTGTCACCCCCTTTTTTAGCATAGATCTGAACGTAAATGGTTGTAATTCACGAATTCTTTTGAAT